GCGTGTTTTCCTCGAAATGCGTATTTCGTAGATTTACACGTTTAGCACACTCCTCCAAGAACCGTTTCTGTGAGTACGGATGACTTGCAATACTGGTGACCACAGAAATCGCTTGTTTCTTTAGTTCTTCGAGGATAATAGTGCACAAAAACTTCTCACAATACAGAGAACGACACAATGGCCATCCCTCACTGAGCTTCTGTTGCCATTTTCCTCCAGAAGTGAAGCTCCTGCGAATGTTGGAAATGAAAGTTATTAACGAATACGAGTCAATCTGACGCCAAAAAATTTATGAGAATTTGACAAATTGAAAATAGAGTATTAAATTTAGAACCTACAAAAGTCATCAGAGTTAACTGGTCCTGCTTTACCTTCTACTGAAATTACTTAGCATTCAAATACTGCACTGTACAAAGGTAATTTGCTTACATAAGTTGACAATAAGTCATCCTTTCAAATGTAGTGAAAGTTTTATCATGCAGTATGAATAAATAAACTTACTGGTTTGCATTGTCCATTAGTCAAGAGCGGAAAGTAGTTGCCAGCGCAAACCATTTCCAGCAACGTGCTATCTGGGCCAAACACGGAAGCTGTGTTTGGCCCATAAATCGACGGGGTGTGGTTAAGAGCATCGTGCAGAATGATACGCACTGATGCTGCGCGGCAAGCTCTTTCAAGAAGCAGCCGACAGCTGCAACCCGCTTCAACCGATTCAACTGCAAAAATTATTATTAAGTAAGAAATTTAATGTAGCAGATGAAAGAAAAGTAATTGAAAAATCTTTCCCATTAGAAAAATTTGAATAGAAAAACATACGATAAAATTGGGGCTGCGGTGGGAGGCATCGAACATGGCGAGAGATTCCCAATCATCTCTCAGCTTATCCGCGATCAATGCATGGATAATATCCACGACGATACCAAGCATTTTGGTATGGGCATCAAACATAGTCGCCCCCGCGCCCGTGCTAGGAACTGGGCTCACTTCAAGTCCTATAGCCGAGCAGCAAGCTCGGATGCTATCTACAACAAAGCTCTTAGTGTCATTTCATTACACTAATGATAACAAAAGCTTGGAAATTTATAACAGTCTACATTAATAGCACTGAGTGCTACAAGAAGCAACCATAGATTAACAGAGATGAAGAAGCAATTAATTGAAATTGAATGCAAGCATACCAACAGCAATGTTGAAAGCCGCAAATACTGACGCAATCGCTATGCTTGCGGCGCGCATTCTATCTGAAAAATCGTATGTCAGACAAAAGCAGCAATGATTTGATAACAAATAATCATTTGTCAGCGAAAATCGTATCCCAAACTACCGCACCTGCTTGAAAACTGCTAGAGAAAACTGTAACCTTGCATACAGATTGAAGTTACACAAATCATCAGTGCTGAATGATAATGAATGATGCTTATATCAATTACTGTCTTGATCTGCACTAACTTTTTGCAAGCTGCCAACCAAATACGTCTTCACGAAACACGTAAAGCAATTTCTTGTAAATAAAAAACTCCTATAATCGTGCTAGTTACCAAGAAATTTCGAGAAAAACTCAAACCAGCTCAATGAAGACTGACCTCAATCTGACGTCGCTGTACTGTGCACAAAGAGTTATGTGCAGCGTGTAATATATCTGAAATTTTGGCCTGATGCCAAAATTTTATATGCTATAACGTACTTGGATTTATACCAAGATTTAAAACTACAGAGAAAGCAAAGAAACACAGACAGCAAAAAATTCGAATCATTTTGGACATGTTTTCACACATCACGATATTTAAATAATATTTATTAAATGTTTGTTAAATAATTTTTACATATATACAAGTATAATTAAAAATTATGAAAGTGTCTTGCAGCATTTTATCCATGTGGCAGGCAGTACATGCAAAAGCTTGTCAAAGCGTAGTGCTTCTTGTCTGTATCATGTGTAGTTCTAATCCTCGAGAAACGTTTCAGACATTAAGTCAAAAATGCGTGTAAGGTCATAATGCTTTGAGTACTGTGTAGGGCAGGAGATATAGCTCAACCGAATTGTCTTAGCAATAAGTGTCTCAACGTTTTTGTCATCAATTAGTACTCTGTGCATTTCTTGCAGTAATTCAATAGAACTCATTTTCATTAGAGTTAAGTATCTCAAATATGCTTTTCTTTGTTTTGCCATTTTTAGATGAAAACGTGAACTACACGTTTTATTCTTCGTTGTTATTATGATTATTTCTGTGATTTGTTGTCTGCCATTCTCCTCTCAACCTTTCTGTGTTAGCAATGACACTATTTTAGAAGGATATCACGCAGTGCTAGTTCAACTCTCGTATATTCCGTGAATTATTCGCTCACTTAGAAGTGTATTTCTGATTAATACTTTAGTCTTGTATCTTGTATCTGACACTTTTGTTAATTTAGCACTAATTGTTGAACTACTATTTTCTCTCATCCAAAATGAGCACAATGCAATTTTAAAACTATTTATTCAAGCATTTTAGAGGCAATAATGAAAAGATCTTTACATTTGTTGCTGCTAAATAAATGTCACGCTGTAGTCCTTTCTGGACGTACTTCTCCAAATTGTATCATCTCACGTGCGTGATCAATTATTAAATTTTGTATTTTTTGAACAAAATTTTCTTTATTCATTCTTAGTTAAAGCATGAGCTATTAACTTATGTGATATTTGTTCAGTTGATGTAATAATTATTCATATTTTTTTGCTACAAACTTTGACGCCACTTTTTTTGTTAATTTTTCACTTGCGTGTGAATTGTATTTGCTTGCATCGAATTGTATTTGTAAGCAATACTATTCTGTTTACCAAATTGCAAACATTATGATTGTATTTCAGCATTTTGCCCAAAACTTTATTGCTTTTCCATCGTGTTTCGCTGAAAATTCGCTAATTATTGTAATGAATCACAAGACAAGTTTCACTTTTGATGCATGAGTGATGATTATTTTTACTTGTATGAAATAAATTCTGCCGTGCTTGTCATGCAGTGTATTTTATTCAGTAATGATTGATATGTTTGATTTTAGTTCTTGTTCTTAATTTTTGATCTATGGATAAAAGTTTTGTTTACTTTACTACAAGCTAGTTATCAGCTTAGTTTTACTCGTACTTTCAGAGCTAAAAATGATACTTTTGATTATGAAAAAATTATCTTCTTTTGTATAAAAATGATGTTGAATAAAGGAACCAAAATTAAAATATTTGAAGCTGTGAATCAAATTTATTATTCAATTTTAAAGCAGTGCTATCAGTGATGAATTATTTGTGATCACAATGTCTATCAGCTGCACACTTATTAAATTATACAATATTCAGTTCATTTAACTATGAACTACAATTTTTACGTGACACTTACTTGTATTTCTTGCAAAAGTTTCAGATTTAACAGTCTTTATGACACGTAATACTTTATGAAACAAATAAAATTCAAAACAAAGTCAATTTAAATTTGTGTTGTTCAATTTTTTACTGATATTTCATACATTTACTACATTACTAATCAAAATACTTCAAGTAAAGAATCTGCTATTAATTCTTACTATGATTGTTGATAGGTCAGCTTTAATAGAAATTATCCAAATAAAAGGTATGGAAGGTATTATTTCAATTTTTTGTTCGAAGATCTGTAAAGAAATGTAGTAAAATTAATAGGTTTTAACTGATTTTTCAATCTTGATTTAATTAAAATTTTAAAGGCCGCCAATATTTCTTCTACAATCTTAAATCAGTATACTTTTCTATGGCAAACTTATTCTAATAAAAATATTCGATCCCATTAAAATATTTAACAAACTGCAATCTTTTCAATTTTGCATTACTTCCATATTCAATAATGCATTTGAATTTTTATAATTTTTTTGACAGAAAAGTTTATGAAGTCAAATATTCAAGAATATATAATATTGGTATCAACTTTATGTACAAGCTAATGTGATGTTATTTTGAATATTGTGATTGGAAGTTGCAGTGAGGAATCTGAAATAACTGCGATTTTTTAAATAAGAACTAATTACTAAATTTATATATTGCAAGTGTGCATTTATCTTGTATTTCACTATCTGTCAT